TATCATCAAGTAAAGGAGGGGTTAGCTTCTAAAGGTTGTCATCAGGTAAAGGAGGGTTAGCTTCTAAAGGTTGTCATCAGGTAAAAGGGGGGTTAGCGTCTAAAGGTTGTCATCACGAAAAGGGGGGTTAGCTTCTAAAAGTTGTCATCAGGTAAAAGGGGGGTTAGCTTCTAAAAGTCGTCATCAGGTAAAGGGGGGTTAGCTTCTAAAGGTTGTCATCAGGTAAAGAGGGGTTAGCATCTAAAGGTTGTCATCAGGTAAAAGGGGGGTTAGCTTCTAAAGGTTGTCATCAGGTAAAGGGGAGTTAGCTTCTTAAGGTTGTCATCAGGTAAAGGGGGGTTAGCTTCTAAAGGTTCTCATCAGGTAAAAGGGGGGTTAGCTTCTAAAGGTTGTCATCACGAAAAGGGGGTTTCGCTTCTAAAGGTTGTCATCAGGTAAAAGGGGGGTTAGCGTCTAAAGGTTGTCATCAGGTAAAAGGGGGGTTCGCTTCTAAAGGTTGTCATCAGGTAAAGGGGGTTCGCTTCTAAAGGTTGTCATCAGGTAAAGGGGGGTTAGCGTCTAAAGGTTGTCATCAGGTAAAAGGGGGGTTCGCTTCTAAAGGTTCTCATCAGGTAAAAGGGGGGTTAGCTTCTAAAGGCTGTGATCAGGTAAAAGGGGGGTTAGCTTCTAAAGGTTCTCATCAGGTAAAGGGGGGTTCGCTTCTAAAGGTTGTCATCACGAAAAGGGGGGTTCGCTTCTAAAGGTTCTCATCAGGTAAAAGGGGGGTTAGCGTCTAAAGGTTGTCATCAGGTAAAGGGGGGGTTAGCTTCTAAAGGTTGTCATCAGGTAAAGGGGGGTTAGCTTCTAAAGGTTCTCATCAGGTAAAAGGGGGGTTAGCTTCTTAAGGTTGTAATCAGGTAAAGGGGGGTTAGCTTCTAAAGGGTGTCATCAGCTAAAAGGGGGGTTAGCTTCTAAAAGTCGTCATCAGGTAAAGGGGGGTTAGCTTCTAAAGGTTCTCATCAGGTAAAAGGGGGGTTAGCTTCTTAAGGTTGTCATCAGGTAAAGGGGGGTTAGCTTCTAAAGGTTCTCATCAGGTAAAGGGGGGTTAGCTTCTAAAGGTTCTCATCAGGTAAAGGGAGGTTAGCTTCTAAAGGTTCTCATCAGGTAAAAGGGGGGTTAGCTTCTAAAGGTTCTCATTAGCAAAAGGGGGGTTAGCGTCTAAAGGTTGTCATCAAGAAAAGGGGGGTTCGCTTCTAAAGGTTCTCATCAGGAAAAGGGGGGTTAGCGTCTAAAGGTTATCATCAAGTAAAGGAGGGGTTAGCTTCTAAAGGTTGTCATCAGGTAAAGGAGGGTTAGCTTCTAAAGGTTGTCATCAGGTAAAAGGGGGGTTAGCGTCTAAAGGTTGTCATCACGAAAAGGGGGGTTAGCTTCTAAAAGTTGTCATCAGGTAAAAGGGGGGTTAGCTTCTAAAAGTCGTCATCAGGTAAAGGGGGGTTAGCTTCTAAAGGTTGTCATCAGGTAAAGAGGGGTTAGCATCTAAAGGTTGTCATCAGGTAAAAGGGGGGTTAGCTTCTAAAGGTTGTCATCAGGTAAAGGGGAGTTAGCTTCTTAAGGTTGTCATCAGGTAAAGGGGGGTTAGCTTCTAAAGGTTCTCATCAGGTAAAAGGGGGGTTAGCTTCTAAAGGTTGTCATCACGAAAAGGGGGTTTCGCTTCTAAAGGTTGTCATCAGGTAAAAGGGGGGTTAGCGTCTAAAGGTTGTCATCAGGTAAAAGGGGGGTTCGCTTCTAAAGGTTGTCATCAGGTAAAGGGGGTTCGCTTCTAAAGGTTGTCATCAGGTAAAGGGGGGTTAGCGTCTAAAGGTTGTCATCAGGTAAAAGGGGGGTTCGCTTCTAAAGGTTCTCATCAGGTAAAAGGGGGGTTAGCTTCTAAAGGCTGTGATCAGGTAAAAGGGGGGTTAGCTTCTAAAGGTTCTCATCAGGTAAAGGGGGGTTCGCTTCTAAAGGTTGTCATCACGAAAAGGGGGGTTCGCTTCTAAAGGTTCTCATCAGGTAAAAGGGGGGTTAGCGTCTAAAGGTTGTCATCAGGTAAAAGGGGGGTTAGCTTCTAAAGGTTGTCATCAGGTAAAGGGGGGTTAGCTTCTAAAGGTTCTCATCAGGTAAAAGGGGGGTTAGCTTCTAAAGGTTGTCTTCAGGAAAAGGAGGGTTAGCTTCTAAAGGTTCTCATCAGGTAAAGGGGGGTTAGCTTCTAAAGGTTGTCATCAGGTAAAGGGGGTTAGCTTCTAAAGGTTCTCATCAGGTAAAAGGGGGGTTAGCGTCTGAAGGTTATCATCAAGAAAAGGGGGTTAGCTTCTAAAGGTTCTCATCAGGTACAGGAGGGGTTAGCTTCTAAAGGTTCTCATCAGGTAAAGGGGGGTTAGCTTCTAAAGGTTGTCATCAGGTAAAGGGGGGTTAGCTTCTAAAGGTTCTCATCAGGTACAGGAGGGGTTAGCTTCTAAAGGTTGTCATCAGGTAAAGGGGGGTTAGCTTCTAAAGGTTCTCATCAGGTAAAGGGGGGTTAGCGTCTAAAGGTTGTCATCAGGTAAAAGGGGGGTTAGCGTCTAAAGGTCGTCATCAGGTAAAAGGGGGGTTAGCGTCTAAAGACGACCGCTGTGTGTCGCGATCGAAACGTCGTAGTTTTTTGTGATTTTTTTTGGGGTCCCATCCACGTGACTTTACCAAAAGACCCAAAGAATATGAATTCCTGCAGTCACGAAAGCTTTAAGTCAAGGATTTAATGTTTAACATATTTTCGCGTTTGAATTGGCTCCTGTTAATAAATATAAAGCGATGGGGTTTTCAGCGTTGATGTCGTCCTGCTCTATGCAAGACCGAAATCGGGTGGACGCTCGCTTCACTTTTCTGGCGAGTCGCCCCACGTTGCTGGTCGAGGCCGTCGCCAGCGAAACGTCGGACTGCTCGAAAATTGTTCATTGTTGTGGACTTTCGCTCGCTCAAACACACAGCGGTGGGGCTGAAGTAGAATACTTACACTATACACTACGCTATGCTAGTAACCAATTGGCGCTTTTTGCTTACGTGACAAATCCCTTACTAATCGGCGTTGTGTTAACGTGACAAATCCCTTACTAATTGGCGTGTATTTACGTGACAAATCCCTCACTAATTGGTGTTTGTTTACGTGACAAACCCCTTACTAACTGGTGTTCACGTGACAAATCCCTCACTAATTGGTTTTTGTTTACGTGACAAATCCCTTACTAATCAGTGTTTGTTGACGTGACAAATCCCTAACTGGTGTTTGTTTACGTGACAAATCCCTTACTAACTGGTGTTTGTTTACGTGACAAATCCCTCACTAATTGGTGTTTGTTTACATGACAAATCCCTTACTAATCGGTGTTTGTTTACGTGACAAATCCCTAACTGGTGTTTGTTTACGTGACAAATCCCTTACTAATCGGTGTTTGTTTACGTGACAAATCCCTCACTAACTGGTGTTTGTTTACGTGACAAATCCCTTACTAACTGGTGTTTGTTTACGTGACAAATCCCTCACTAATTGGTGTTTGTTTACGTGACAAATCCCTTACTAACTGGTGTTTGTTCACGTGACAAATTCCTCACTAACTGGTGTTTGTTCACGTGACAAATCCCTCACTAATTGGTGTTTGCTTACGTGACAAATCCCTCACTAACTGGTGTTTGTTTACGTGACAAATTCCTTACTAACTGATGTTTGTTTACGTGACAAATCCCTCACTAATTGGTGTTTGTTTACGTGACAAATCCCTTACTAACTGGTGTTTGTTCACGTGACAAATCCCTCACTAACTGGTGTTTGTTCACGTGACAAATCCCTCACTAATTGGTGTTTGCTTACGTGACAAATCCCTCACTAACTGGTGTTTGTTTACGTGACAAATTCCTTACTAACTGATGTTTGTTCACGTGACAAATCCCTCACTAACTGGTGTTTGTTAACGTGACAAATCCCTTACTAACTGGTGTTTGTTCACGTGACAAATCCCTTACTAATTGGCGTTGTGTTAACGTGACAAATCCCTTACTAACTGGTGTTTGTTTACGTGACAAATCCCTTACTAACTGGTGTTTGTTCATGTGACAAATCCCTCACTAACTGGTGTTTGTTCACGTGACAAATCCCTTACTAATTGGTGTTTGTTTACGTGACAAATCCCTTACTAACTGGTGTTTGTTTACGTGACAAATCCCTTACTAACTGGTGTTTGTTTACGTGACAAATCCCTCACTAATTGGTGTTTGTTTACGTGACAAATCCCTCACTAACTGGTGTTTACGTGACAAATCCCTTACTAACTGGTGTTTGTTTACGTGACAAATCCCTTACTAATTGGCGTTGTGTTAACGTGACAAATCCCTTACTAACGGGTGTTTGTTTACGTGACAAATCCCTAACTGGTGTTGTGTTAACGTGACAAATTCCTTATTAATTTGTGTTTGTTTACGTGACAAATCCCCTACTAGCTGGTGTTTGTTAACGTGACAAATCCCTTACTAACTGGTGTTTGTTTACGTGACAAATCCCTCACTAACTGGTGTTTATGTGACAAATCCCTTACTAACTGGTGTTTGTTTACGTGACAAATCCCTTACTAATCGGCGTTGTGTTTACGTCACAAATCCCTCACTAACTGGTGTTTGTTTACGTGACAAACCCCTAATTGGCTGTGTGGGGTGGTGGAGGGTTACGACACAACGTGTATACACTTACGCGATAAAAACCCAAAAACCTTTATTACGATTAAAATTGTCCGCGAAACCCTACGTGTTAAAGTGGAGTCTCTTTGACTTTGTTTAAGCTATCCACATACCACATTTGTTGCTGTCGCGTTATTATTATCCACTCCTTTTCCATTAAAAACGATGGTGGGGAGCAAGGTGATGGTGGGGGGGGGGGCGACCAGGTGAGGTGGGGGGGGGGGGCGACCAGGTGAGGTGGGGGGGGGGGCGACCAGGTGAGGTGGGGGCTTGCGTCTCACCTGCCAAGGTGAACATCAGGAGGGTGAAGGCGGCTGCTTGCATGGCTCCCAGGTGAGTTGGTGGTGGTGGGGGGGAGGGCAAGGCGAGGTGAGGAGTGTACAGGTGAGTCTACAGTTGAGTGTGCAGGTGAGGAGTGTGCATGCGAGTCTACAGGTTAGTCTACAGGTGAGTCTGCAGGTGTGTGTGTATGTGAGTGTACAGGTGAGTGTACAGGCGAGTGTACAGGTGAGTCTACAGTTGAGTGTGCAGGTGAGGAGTGGGCATGTGAGTCTACAGGCGAGTCTGCAGGTGTGTGTGAGTGTACAGGTGAGTGTACAGGTGAGTGTACAGGTGAGGAGTGTACAGGTGAGTGTACAGGTGAGGAGTGTACAGGTGAGTCTACAGGCGAGTCTGCAGGTGTGTGTATGTGAGTGTACAGGCGAGTGTACAGGTGAGTGTACAGGTGAGTGTGTATGTGAGTCTACAGGCGAGTCTGCAAGTGTGTGTGTATGTGAGTGTACAGGTGAGTGTACAGTTGAGTGTACAGGTGAGTGGTGTACAGGTGAGGAGTCTACAGGTGAGTCTACAGGTGAGTCTGCAGGTGAGTCTGCAGGTGTGTGTGTATGTGAGTGTACAGGCGAGTGTACAGGCGAGTGTACAGGTGAGTGTGTATGTGAGTCTACAGGTGAGTGTACAGGTGAGGAGTGTACAGGTGAGTGTACAGGTGAGTCTACAGGTGAGTGGTGACCTCCCAACCGAATCGCGGACTGCACAGCCGCGAGTCGCGGCCTCCGTTTTTGGTCTCTGCCTCTCCACCCCCCTCGCCCCCTCCCCTCGCCCCTCCCCCCTCCCCTCGCTCCTCCCCCTCTACTGCGTGCGGAGGGGGAGGGTCCGGGTGGGTGTAGTGTGATTGTGAGTGTCTGTATGTGTGTGTGTCGGCCACGGTCATTCCCTCCCTTCTCGACGCTTGCGAAACGTGGACCCCCCCCCCCTCCTAATGGAACATCTTCGCCGGTTAGAAACATTCAGGCTGGCCTGCCTACGATCCATCCTGGGTTTAACCAGACTGGATTGTGTGAGGAGCTCACACATCCTTGAAAGATCTGGGCAAAGTCCCATCGGTGAGCTACTCCGGCAGGCAAGGCTGCGATGGATGGGTCATGTAGCCCGCATGCCCAGCCACCGCATGCCGAAACAGCTTTTGTTCGGCCCGATAGAGAGGGCTAAACGGGCGCGGCACGGGCTAGAGAAGAGATGGAGTGATGTGGTACAGGAGGACGTGGAGCTGAGTGGACTTGCCGATGACTGGTACCAGCGGTGTCAAGATCGGCCTCTGTAGAGGAGGCTCGTGAAGGACGCTACTGGGCAGTTGGAGGCAGTCGCCCTCCAACAACAACGGAGGGCGGAGGAGCGACGCTCACAACAACGAGCGGAGCGCCGGGTGGCTAAAGCACAGCAGGTTGGCACAGTAGGGGGCACAGGTGGTGCATCAGCCAGTCATCTCAGTCATCTTAGTCAGTCGACCCGTGGCACCTGGGTCTGCCCCGTGACCTGCCGGCAGGCGTTCGACACTTCACGTGGCCTCAAGGTGCACATGGCCTGGCACAAGCGTCGTGGTGACGTCACCGCCACTTAGTGGCGAATGGCGGTTGTTGCTGTGTGTCTGTCTGTGTCTGTATGTGTCTGTATGTGTCTCTGTATGAGTGTCTCTATGTGTCTGTATGTGTGTATGTGTCTGTATGTGTGTGTGTCTGTAAGAGTGTCTGTATGTGTTTCTGTATTTGTATGTATGTGTCTGTACGTGTCTGTGTGTCTGTATGTGTCTGTATGTATGTGTCTGTATGTGTTCGATTCCCACTCACCAGTGAGGCTACACGGGGGATCTTTGTCTTTGTGCGTGTGTACGAGGCTACACGTGTGTGGGTGGCTCCCAGACTCAAGTTTCCTGTCACATAACGGATATCAGACCACAAACCCACACATATACCAACACACTAACACACATATACCAACACACTAACACACATATATCAACACGCTAACACACATATACCAACACACTAACACACATATACTAACACACATATACCAACACTAACACACATATACCAACACACTAACACACATATACCAACACGCTAACACACATTTACCAACACACTAACACACATATACCAACACACTAACACACATATAACAACACGCTAACACACATATACCAACACGCTAACACACATATACCAACACACTAACACACATATACCAACACACTAACACACATATACCAACACACGAACACACATATACCAACACACTAACACACATATACCAACACGCTAACACACATATACCAACACACTAACACACATATACCAACACACTAACACACATATACCAACACGCTAACACACATATACCAACACACTAACACACATATACCAACACACTAACACACATATACCAACACACTAACACACATATATCAACACGCTAACACACATATAACAACACACGAACACACATATACCAACACACTAATACACATATACTAACACACATATACCAACACACTAACACACATATACCAACATGCTAACACACATATACCAACACGCTAACACACATATATCAACACGCTAACACACATATACCAACACACGAACACACATATACCAACACACTAACACACATATACCAACACACTAACACACATATACCAACACACTAACACACATATACCAACACGCTAACACACATATACCAACACACTAACACACATATACCAACACACTAACACATATACCAACACACTAACACACATATACCAACACACTAACACACATATACCAACACACTAACACACATATACCTACACACTAACACACATATACCAACACACTACCACACATATACCAACACACTAACACACATATACCAACACACTAACACACATATACCAACACACTAACACACATATACCAACACGCTAACACACATATACCAATACACTAACACACATATACCAATACACTAACACACATATACCAACACACTAACACACATATACCAACACATTAACACACATATACCAACACACTAACACACATATATCAACACGCTAACACACATATACCAACACACTAACACACATATACCAACACACTAACACACATATACCAACACGCTAACACACATATACCAATACACTAACACACATATACCAATACACTAACACACATATACCAACACACTAACACACATATACCAACACTAGCACACATATACCAACACACTAACACACATATACCAACACATTAACACACATATACCAACACACTAACACACATATATCAACACGCTAACACACATATACCAACACACGAACACACATACCAACACACTAACACACATATACCAACACGCTAACACACATATACCAACACGCTAACACACATATACCAACACGCTAACACACATATACCAACATGCTAACACACATACCAACACAGGAACACACATACACCAACACACATATACCAACACACTAACACGCATACACCACCACACACATACCAACACACTAGCACACATATACCAACACACTAACACACATATACCAACACACTAACACACATATACCAACACACTAGCACACATATACCAACACACTAACACACATATACCAACACGCTAACACACATATACCAACACACTAACACACATATACCAACACGCTAACACACATATACCAACATGCTAACACACATATACCAACACGCTAACACACATATACCAACACACTAACACACATATACCAACACACTAACACACATATACCAACACACTAACACACATATACCAACACGCTAACACACATATACCAACACGCTAACACACATATACCAATACCAACACACTAACACACATACACCAACACACATATACCAACACCCTAACACACATATACCAACACACTAACACACATATACCAACACACTAACACATATACCAACACACTAACACACATATACCAACACACTAACACACATATACCAACACACTAACACACATATACCAACACACTAACACACATATACCAACACACTAACACACTAACACATATAACAACACACTAACACACATATACCAACACACTAACACATATAACAACACACTAACACATATACCAACACGCTAACACATATACCAACACGCTAACACACATATACCAACACGCTAACACACATATACCAACACGCTAACACACATAGACCAACACGCTAACACACATAGACCAACACGCTAACACACATAGACCAACACGCTAACACACATAGACCAACACGCTAACACACATAGACCAACACGCTAACACACATACACCAATACACTAACACACATATACCAACACACTAACACACATACACCAACACGCTAACACACATATACCAACACACGAACACACATATACCAACACACGAACACACATATACCAACACACTAACACACATATACCAACAAACATATACCAACACACTAACACACATATACCAACACACTAACACACATATACCAACACACTAACACATATACCAACACACTAACACACATATACCAACACACTAACACACATATACCAACACACTAACACACATATACCAACACACTAACACACATATACCAACACGCTAACACACATACACCAACACACTAACACACATACACCAACACACTAACACACATACACCAACACACTAACACACATACACCAACACACTAACACACATATACCAACACACTAACACACATATACCAACACACTAACACACATATACCAACACACAGGGTGGTGGGGGGGTGTTCAACAGAAAAATTGGTGACCGTGGACGGGAGTCGAACTGGTGTTACGGCTGTCCGTCTTCATAGGTGCACTTGCCCCAACAGGCCGTGGAGGCTATACTGGGGAGGGGGATCATTTGTCTTTGTGCGATTGTTGTGTGGTGCACGAGGTTGATGAGTGAGCTGATGGTGGGGGTAGTGGTGGTGTGTCTGTTAGTGTGTGTCTGTGCGTGAGTGTGTGTCTGTGAGTGTGTGTGTGTCTGTGAGTGTGTGTGTCTGTGCGTGAGTGTGTGTAGCGGTTAGCGCGCTGCGCTATGAACCTGGCGACCCGGGTTCGATTCCCGCTCACGGCCAACACCAGTGACGATTATCTGAACCGGTCCCGGGCCTCCCCTAGGTCGACTCAGCCTCAAATGAGTACCTGGTGTGGTGTGTAAACATCGCTACTAGGGAGACAAAGGCGGTCGGGCGTGGTGCTGGCCACCCACCCCCTCGTGTACCGTTCTGGCCTTCATAGGTGCTCGCTAACAGCACTTGC